GGGGGGCCGCGGTGCCGGTGGGGGTTTCCTCGCCCGGTGCTGTGTCCGCTCCCTGCCGGCGCTCGGGAGCGCGCACTTCCCTGCCGAACTCCCGTGATGGCTTTAAAACTCCTCGCAGGGGAAGAGAGAGTTACTGATGTGCTGGCAGGGCTCGGGAGTTTCCTGATGACTCTCCTCAGCACGTTCAGCACTTCATAAGCATCACAAAGTTTTGTGGCCTTAAAATATACCTCCTCTTTTTTTTTTTTTTTTTTTTTTTTTGCTGACCCGCTGGCCCCGCAGACTTTAACTGAAAGCAATAATGCTTCTGGCTAATTTTAACTCAAGCAATAAAGCTATATAAAAGGAGGACATAATTTTCTACTAATCTCTGCATGTTTTTGGAAAGCAAGAGCGCAAAGCTCTCTTACCATGTCCTCTAACCTCCAGGCTCTGTAATTGCAGGCAAAACAAGCTCTGAGCTTCTGTTGCCCCAGTTTTGAAATTGCAGTAATGCTGTTGACCCACCTCTGTAAAACACTCAAGATCTACTCAAAGGCCACTTGCCAAATTAGAAAGTCAGGCTGAGAGCTGGATTCCCACTGACAACAGTCAATCACTGCTTCTCTCTTCATCCCCAAAATACTTAGCTTTAAGAAAAAGAGGACAGCTCAAGGAGGAGCCACTGAGAATGACAAAGAAGGCCTGTGTGTGTGCACATTGGGCTTCATTCTGCCCTCATTTAGGGCACAGTAAACCAGGAGAAGGAATTCATTGCAGTGAAGGAAGCTGGGATGAAATAAGCACCTGAGCAGTGCCTTGCAGGCCAAGCTGAGCTATCACCATGGAATTAGACAGCTCTTTAAAGTCCCTGTTGGATGGTCTAGAGAGGGCCAATAGAAATGAGACCACAGCTGAGACCCTAATATACTTACACCTCCTTGCAAGGACACACCAGTATCTGCAGTAACCAGTTGGAAAGATAACCTCAGCTCCTGAGCCCTGTGCCTGTCAGATGTGTGCAGGGAGGGACTGTAACCCCTGCCACCGGGGAGTGAGACAGACAGTGCTAGGGGAGAGTTGATGGCTGCTGGCTGGGAATGGCTCTGCAGATGCAGGTTGTGCTTCGTTGCAAGTGGTGCAGGAATTTTGCTCCCCTTGGCCAGCGTGCAAAGAGCTGGGATCTGCCTTACATGCAAAGATGGGCTGAGAGACTCCAGGGACAAAGGGACTGCTGAGTCCAGGTGGGGAGGAGGGACTGGTGTCTGTGAATACATTTTGATACCTGCTTACAGGCACTACCCTTGTAATGGGGATGCACTACAAAGTGAGACCTCCCTTTATTTTTGTTTCTGAAGAGGCTTCCAACAACCTCAGAGGGGAATAAAGACATGGGGGTTTTGTCAGCATTAGAGGAGACCAGAGCAGTTCTCTGGGCGTCCACTACAGCAAAAGGGACGTCTGGAGCTGCTGTCCTTCAACCTCTCAAGGGAACAGAGTGAGGTTCAGAGACTGAAGGCATATCCAGCCTGTGCAGTGGGAGCCCCCCTCCAGTAGCTTTTCAGGAGCCGGAGGGTGCACTCATGACAGTAGGTGAGTTTTTCACTATTTGCATCTCCCAGTACTGAAACACCAGAAAACCTGGACCAAGGCTCTCAGAGGAGCTAAGGAAAATAGTAATCCCTTTAACCCAACTTCCCTGGGTTCAGCAGAAGAAATAAAAACAGTGCCAAGTGACCAAACTTCACCCATAGTTGGGCATTCCTTTAAAAGAAAATACAATAAAACATCCCAGTTGAAACTCAGACACTGACCTGTTAAGTCCTGCTGACTGCTGTCTGTATTTCATACCCAGAGGGCAGGGCTGGGGCCATCTGTGATCACATCAGATATGCAAGGCTGGTCTTCCAACAGTCCGAGGTGAACGTGTTGTTCAGATCTGCAGGGCTAGATGAGGTAAGGGGAAGCACGCCATGAAGATTTTATAAGAATCCTACTTGGACTCAGCTGCAAATATGATTGGCTCCAATGCTAAAACACCCTTTTTAAAAGAACAAACACATTTTCAAGGGGGAAGAGGTACATTATGGCAAGAGCTGTTGGGTGGCAATGACACTAGCTGCTGGGAGGTCAGGGCTTTGCTGTTGCCTATTTTTGTGTGTCTGAGAAACCTCCCCAGTCCCACATGCTGATGACTCATACCGTCCCGTCCCCCTTCCCCTGCAGCCCCACGATACAGAAAATAAAGAGCAACCCCAGCCCCTAAGGCAGACAATGGTGGCTGGTGCTTACCTGAGAAAAGAGGTCACCACAGAAGCATAGAAGGGCAGAGGATTAAGCTCAAGCTCTCAGACTCCCAAATTATTATCCCAAGCTTATTTCTAAGGGAATCATCAGATTCAGCCTACATGGGAGAAGCCCTCTCTCTCCCTTCCCAAGCCCCACTAGTGATTGGAGAATAACTGAGGCGTGAAGCGCACATGAAAATACAACTACTTAGCAGCACATGTGAAATGAGCGTGGCAGTTTTCTGCGGGTGAGCACTGAGCCTGGCTTTCTTAATCTGCCGCTTTGCCAGGTTAATCTGAAGACTTGAGAAATGAGTATTTGCTAGAGACTGGCAATGGCTCCTTCCCTGCCAGGCTGTGTACTCCCCGTGGAAGGGCCACCCTGCTTCCTGCCTGCATGGTGCCTCCCACCATGGGGTTCAGACCATGGCTGGAGCTATTTATGACTGTAAAGGCAATATTGATCACTGAGAATAATGGTCAAAAGGTACTAATGACACGGCATGGGGGAAAATTATTTGTTATTGCCGAGGCCTGGAACTACATCTGACTTGTAGGTGAAGAGGGAGTGCTTTTTGCCTGCAGGAAGATGCTGTGCCTCTGGTGCAGTGCATGCTTGATTCCCTCCCTGCTCATTAGCAGTGCTCGTTACTGTCTTCTCAGCAGGTTTCTCACAAATGCCTTGCTGTTTCCCAGGACCTTGGTGCCACTGAGTGAGATTAAGCCCAAGCTTTGGTCTGATGACCATGTTGAATAGAAATTAAACATCAGCTGGTTTCAGATGGAAGCTGAGGAATCCGTTGAACTCATCCCCAAGTCCTGGTTTTCCAGCTACTGTGGAAAGGAGCCTTTCTAGGGGATCTTCTGCTTTTGCACCCAGTCATTTAATTCTGGAGCCTGAATACCACGGGAAGAGTTTACCCTGGCTTCATGCTGGTGAGACCTCCATCTGCTGGTGGCCAGGCACCAGTGCATGCTGTGTTTGCTGCCAGGGCCCCCAGATTTCACCAAGGTAGCAAAGGCTTGGGCAGATATGTAGGGAATTACACTGATGCAGTACAGGCTTTCTTCAGAAACCAACATCTGGGGAGCTACTCACAGAAATGACTGTGGGTAATCTCCTCTCTGTTTTCTAAGCACTGCATTAGACATCACCCTGCCTCCAGGATGCCTACGAGCCCCAATGTGTCCTGATACTCAATGCTTTGTTTTAAATTTTATGGCATCACTGTAATGTGTCAGCTGAGAGGGACCCTGCAAAGCCCCAGCTCATCCCCTACTTGAGCAGATGTAGGTGCAGTTTGTTCTGAAAGTTTCCCAGAGATGGACACCCCGTGATCTTGCCAAGCAATTCCTTCCAGCTCTACAAACCCTTGAAAGGTTTTCCTACCACCTTATCTGAACCATCCTTGTCATAGCTGGGACCCAATACATTTTGTCCTGAAAGACAAGCAGGGCACCTGGTTCTGCCACATTTTTGTGTTAACCAGGGAAGGTCAATTCTGCTAATATCACCAAGCTGGAATACTTGCTTTCTCCAGCAGTGCATGGATTTTCCACCATCTCCTGTAGTCCTTTTCACCTGCAGAATGTGGATTTTCAAGTATTATTTAATCAAAACACTAGTGTTTATGCCCATTTTGCACAGATTTACAACAGCTGTAGTTCAAAGCAGCAGAGAATCACGCTGGGGTGAACTTTTTACCATTAAGTGCTGGAGTAAATGTTTGCAGGCTCAGTATATAAGAGAAACAGGTTGGATAAAAGGTAGAATTTACATTAAATACCTCTGGAGAGGTAACTGGAGAATTAAAAGTATATCTAATAAAACAAGACGCTTGGTGCATCTTTTACATCTATGGCCAGATTTTGCCACTTGTTCATACAAGGTAGCACTGATGCCTTGAGAAATCTCCTTGGTCTCAGGGGGACAGGGCAGGGAGTAAGCAGCCAATCCCAAAGACACTCCACACCCTAGGGAATCCCACTGATTTGGTGGGTATGACAGTGTACGTTGCCTAAAATTAAGCAGGTTCATACACCTTGTCAGAAAAAAAGTACTAAGGGTTAGAACAGTGCAAAGAGCATCCGGTCCTGAGTAGTTAATATTGTAACCTGGCTAATTCCATAGCTTGCCGACCTTTCTGTTCCCAAACAAAATGCTAATCACTTCCCACAGATCCTTTTGCAATTATCTCCTGGGAAATCTCCCTAGAGACCAAGAAACTAAAAACTGCGCTCTTGCTTCTCATCATGAAATGCTAGCCTCTGTCAAAATAGATTTCAAGAAATCATTCATTTAACTTTCTTGCTGCCACAATTAAAAAAGAAAAAGGAAAAAAAAGCAAAAAAAGGAAAAAAAAAAAGCAGCAGCTGTTTTCTATTAAAAGCACCAGTGGTGATGGGAGCAAACCAAATTACAGGCTCTGAGGACTACTCCCTGCCTGCAACGCTTGCATCTACTGGAAATGCTGTTGGTATGATGGAAACTTCCATCAACCATTTTATTCAGTGGTGGCAACTAGGGACCATGTTTGCCTTTTGTACCAGGCATTTATATTTCATTAGTTTATATACTGTTACCAGCTGGGAGCTTGTTCTCTGCTGATGTCTGATTTAGAGGCTTGCATGAGGAAGGGATGTGATTTACAGACACACACTGGAAAGCCAATTGCCCTTGATCTTACCGCAGCATTGGGAACGCCAGTTACTTCCACCAGCAAGAGCAGCAAACCTGTCAAGCCTCCCACTAGGAGTGCAAGACTCCTGCGGTTGGCGTTTGCTTCATGCTCTGCTGTTTCTTGCACATTCACAGCAGAAAGCCGCAGCCTCTCTCCCTGCTGCCCAAAGCACTGGCCGCAACTGGTCAGCTCTATCTGCCGTCCCTGTAACAGCTACATGCAGGGTTATATAAGAGAAGGGCATGCTGTAATGTTGCTGCACAGCTGAGGCGGGAGCCAGCTAGTGACCTTTCTGCTCAAAGGAACCCTGTAAAGCCCCGGAGCAAGCTACCACTACGGTCCTGCCCATCATATGTCAGTGCACAGTGGACGACTCAATACATAGCTTCTCCTGCATCGCAAGGAAACACAATTCAGAGGGAGGAGATGGAGAGAAGTAGTTTTTCTGTTGTGCCACAGAGATCTCCTGCAAGCAAGGCTTTGCACAGAACAGGGCCTCATATAGAATCATAGAATCATTGAGGTTGGAAAAGACCTCTAAGATCATCGAGTCCAACCGTCGACCCAACACCACCATGTCCACTAAAACATGTCCCTAAGTGCCTCATCTACTCGTCTTTTAAATACCTCCAGGGATGGGGACTCCACCACTTCCCTGGGCAGCCTGGTCCAATGTTTAACCACTCTTTCAGTAAAGAAATTTTTCCTCACATCCAATCTAAACCTCCCCTGGCGCAACTTGAGGCCATTTCCTCTTGTCCTATTGCTAGTTACTGGGAGAAGAGACCGACACCCACCTCGCTACAACCTCCTTTCAGGTAGTTGTAGAGAGCGATGAGGTCTCCCCTCAGCCTCCTTTTCTCCAGGCTAAACAACCCCAGTTCCCTCAGCCGCTCCTCAGAAGACTTGTTCTCCAGACCCCTCACCAGCCTCGTTGCCCTTCTCTGGACTCTATACTCAGTGCTCTTTTTTACAGTCTGGTTATGGTGGCTGGGAAAGAGGAGTCTGAGCATTTCAAGGACAAATAGGTCTTGCAAGAAAACCATGTGTTTCAAGTTTCCCTCTGGAGGTGGGAATTTCTCCCTCCCATTCCTTAACGTTGCCTCCTCCAAGGAAGAACTGTATCTGCAACATCATGAGGGCTCTGAAGGGAAGGGTAAAAACTACTGAGGCAGGGCCCACAGGGTTTTACCTGGCTCACAAATACCTAACTCAGAGCAGGTACATTGCCAGACTTCTCGTAGGACCCAAACTACTTTCTCTTGCAGGTTTCTTAGGATTAGTGGCCACTGAATATTCACTATTTAGTAAAAACATGCTGTCTCATTCTTATCTTGTGATGCAAATCCCAACAAATAACACCAAATGCTGTTGTGGGGAAAAAGAAATACAAATATTCCTATAGTTATATACCCAAATCCCTCAGGGCAGGATGGGCTCTCAAGGACCCAAGCCTGTAATTTTTTGAACAGACAGAAAAGCCTGACTGCAGCCTGCGCCTTGCTGCATCACCTCACAGTGCGGCACAGCAATATTTAAGTCCCTGGGGGATTACAAGGACTGCCCTACTGCCTGAGTTTGGGATTAAAAACAAGTCATGGCCAGTCTTCCCCAAAGAAAGCAGGCCCTTCTCATGATGGCCAGATCCACACCAGGACCGGGACATCCTCTCTGGGGATGTGGTGCTTCCCCTGGTGGAAATGGCTGGGCTCAGACTGGTGAACAGAAATGCCACATGCATGCCAGCGTGTTTTGACTGGGTAGTCTGGTGGCACTAGTGCTGGAGAGCATCCACATAAACAATAGCCAAGCAGCCTGCCTCTGGGAGCTGCTGTTAGCTTCTAGGAAAGCAGAGCATGCACACAGATCTCTTTGTTTCGAGTATTGTAGCATCGCAAACAAGATACCCACGGTACTGAAGCCAAGTAACAGGCAGTGGAGGGGCTGCCAGCTTTTGTTACACCGATGAATGTCTAAA